GTGACCTTTAAGATCTGCTGCCAAGACAACTGATTCTATGGAGACCAGATCTATTGATCCAAAGCAGCAGTACGGAGTGTGTCCCTGCCCCTTCAGAGCATACGCCACAACCAGTGGTCACAGTCTTCCTCTAACTGTACGTTCACACCAACAGCAACCAGAGCTTCCAAAACGGCCGAAGTCATTCATTTTCAGTGAGAGCCCGGCGACTTGGGCGACCTGGTCGTCAGCTGCGTGTCTTGGACACCAAAGCAACCAGAGCAGCTCCGGAGGGGAGTTAAAACTCATTTAACTTCATGGTAATGAGCTCTGACGCGGTTCGGGGGCAACCAATCAGAATGCAGATGTGCTTCGATGAAGCGGGTCCCAGAGAACGAGCCAAGTGTGTAATGTTCGTAATAGAGGAGAGAATTGCAGGCTAATGTTGCGACGTAGCATGCAAGTCTTCCTTGCTTGGTTTGAATGGGATGACATACGTTTTCTGTTTTCACTGACCAAACATAACTTTCGACTGGACGACAGCAAGCAGCAACTACGCTGCTTTGAAGCCAGTAGTCGCTTTGCAGCTCCTTTAAATTGACAAGCACGATTGAACTTTCAATGATTCACTTGATGAGCGACTAGAGCGACCAAAGCTGCCACAGATATTTTTGACAGACGTGCTTCTTGGGCGTCCGCGAGAGACTTTGCCTCTTTGGGAACGTCTGGTGTGAACGTACAGTAAGCGTTCTCAGTGTAGTGAGGTGACGGCATCACAGATCAAGCTCTCCAGTCAGACCCTCAACACACCGCGGGGCTCCTTGAAGAACACACCAGAGATACGTAAAGATAGAAAACGACTGTCCACCTCACTCAGTGTTGAAGTCCATGGTACAGGCAGGAAGTCCAAACATGTATCCAAGGCACTCTGACTGTAAAGATTCTTTATTAAAACATGGAAAAACCAACGTGTTTCAACTAGACCAGAGACGCACTTTGCTCCACCACAGAGAGCCAGACGGTGGATAGCAACCTTGGTGATTTATGATGACACTCTGCGGATCGAGTCCTTTTTGTCTTTTGCCTCTGCCTCAAAACCTGTGATTAGTCACTGTTCAACAGACAGCGTCTTCATTTAGCTTGTTTTCAAGTTACCAGTATTTAGTTAGTTTATTGCTCTTTAAACGTCAGCTGTTATATGGCTGTTTAAAACATATGTCCGGTAGCTGTTCTATATGGCTGGAATTCTGGAATATTAATGGCCAAATTGTCCGTCAAAAATTGAGGTGGTTCGGGCATCTGATCGGACGCCTCCTCAGCACCTCCTGTTGGAGGTTTTCCGGGCACATCCAACAAGTAGGAGGCCCCGGGGCAGACCCAGAACACACTGGAAGGATTATATATCTCATCTGCCCTCAGAGCGCCTTGGGATCCCCCAGGAGGAGCTGGATATTATTACTAAGGAAAGGAACATCTGGATTCCCTTTCTCAACCTGCTGCAAAGTGTCCTTGTTAGTCTCAAGAGATGTTGTGTCTTAGGAATGTCAAGGCGCCACATATTTTGACTATTGATGTGCATGTGTTATGGGAACTATAAAGATAGCAGGGCTGGAGGACTTCTAGCCACTCACTCACTGACTGTTCATGAAATAGTTGTTTTGCCACCACAACCCCGACCCAGGTAAGTGGATAAGTGAATAAATAAATAGACGGATAGAAATATGAGGCTGATCACAGGGTTGTCCCTGGGTCTTTTCGAGACCAAGGTGGCAAAGGCCTGTGGCGGGGGGCATCTTGACATCTGTACTTTTTGATACGCCGCCGCCCCCCCATTAAATATGAAAGGAGGCCCTAACATGCTTGAGCTCTACACTGCTGACTTGTATAATCAGAACAGACATGTCCTGATTTTCAGCCCTCTATGATTATATTTACCCTTTACAGCAGGCACATCCTGACAGCTGAGAATATTACTGTCAGGTATTGTCCCTCCTCTTTTAAATATGAAAGTATGCTGAAAATCACAGGACATGTCTGTTCTGATGATACAAGTCAGCGGCCCTGAAATGTGTGTTTCTCTAGTGTAATTAGGTTTGTTTTGTCTACTCAAAATAGATTCAGTGTAGAAAGTTTCTTTTTTCCAGACAATGAGTTTTTAAGGAGATTTAGTTTACCTTGACATGTTTCGACTGTCACTTCAGTCTTCTTCAGAAGCTTCATCTGACGTGCGTCATGACGTGTCTTTATCAGCTGGTAGTAACATGGAGGCGTGACCAGCCTGGCAATCCGATTTGCCAGGCTGGTCTCCTTAAAAACTCATTGTCTGGAAAAAAGAAACTTTCTACACTTAATGTGTGTTTCTCTTCTGTAATACACATTCTACATCTCAGAGGCGACGTCTTTCCACATACGGGCTTCCTTCGCCTTTCAAACGGGGCAGAGCTCCGTGGGAAACAGTAGGAGAGACACAGCCCGAGGGGGAACCAGGATCTGACACAACACTGGAGGGAGAAGCAGGTCCGTGGAGCTGTGCTCCGGATGAAAGAATCAGCACTGAATGCGCGCTGCTATGGCGTTGCTTTGGGTTGTGAGCGCACATGACGCCCATCTACATTGAAAGTAATGGGTTTGTGCTCGCAAAAGACGCTACATCTGGACGCCCCCCATGCGGCCAAAATCACCCAGGTGGCCCTCCATTGTCTTCGATAGGCAGGAAAAACCCTGTGATCATTTCTGGATATTAACCAAAAACAAGACTAACAGTCTGCAGCGGTGTTGAGAGGATAAATTAATTAATCAAGAAAATAGCTGCCAGAATTCTTGATAATAATAATTTTAAAAAGTCCCAGAGTATAATATGAAAATATGGGTGAAACTCAGCATTGAAATTGATTTAAGGAAAACTTGGTCAACACCAAAAGGGATTTATGAGTCTCTTATTTTTTGCCACTCTTTTTCGTCCTTTTTTCAGCTGTGACCTGTCGAGTGTTGCAGTTTGGGACAAAATGTCCATCGACAAAAGATTCAAAGCTGCTGTCATGGTAATGTCTGCATGCTGCCATTTTAACTGTGTATCATCTTTTCATTTTCAGTGTGAACACAGTACAGACTGTAAACACAGCTGTGGCTGAAACACACACACACACACACACACACACACACACAGTGTTCAGTATCTGGGACACAGTTTGTTTCTGGTCTTTTCCTCTCTGACAGTGAGAATCTTTGGTCATCTCATGATTCAATTTTTGATTTAAAATGATTCTTTGATTAAATTAAAAGAAACCAGCGCTCTGTGTGCCACACCCTCGACTCCTGTCCTCAATAGTTAACCATTAATCACTGGAATCTGCGAGATTTTGAGGCCAGGTCGATGCCTTGAGCTCTTTTTCACGTTCCTCAGGACGTTCCTGAGCAGTTTTTGCGATGTGGCATGATGCACTGTCCTGCTGGGAGCGCTGTTGCCATCAGGTGAGATGGGTTCTTGGTCTGCAACAGTGTTTGGATGGATGAAGTGTGTCTACTAAATGTCTGGTGTCGTGACGCGCCATGATGAGGTACAAATTATTCATACTCCACAACATTACATTATTACAAAGATCAATTTTTGCCATTTGTGAACTGATTCAGAATCATAGAAGGATCCAGAACACCTGTCTGTCTCTCTGTCTCTCTCCATCTGTCTGACTTTGTCCCCGTCTCGCCGTCTGTCTCTCATTATCAGCCAGCACATACCTGTCTGTGTCTCCGTCTCAATGTCACCCTGAAGGTCGCTGCTGTTTATCTAAGAGTTATGCAACCGCCCATTGTGTAGGTAAGTGGGTCTCTCACACGCACACACTCATGATTAGTGTTTCCATGGCAACAGAGAGTGCTGCATCTCTCCTCCGGCACCATGGCTACAGACGAGTCTGCGGCTCCTCATCCGTCATCCGCTCACTGTCTGTTTGCTCCGACCTCTGACCTCCTCACTCTCAGCCGCCTGTGACCTCACCGAGGGTTAGGGTGAACCTTCTTTTGTCAAACGCTCGCAGCAGCTTCCAGAGACGTCTCATCTGCAGCCGTCAGCCGCTCGTTTTCAAACAGAGGCTCTCAGGTTTAAAGTAGCACAGTAAACATCTGCAGCTGCTGATGGTGTTTAACTGCATCAGAGACACGTGTACACCTTCAGTTCACCCTCACTGACATCAGACTGTCTCCTTGATAATGACAACAATGGAGTCCATCACACGCCAGCGTATCGATTACACAAACTGAACTGATCATACACAGAGGAAGTGGTCAGAGTACAGTAGTCAGGATGTGTAGAGGGCTGATGGTTTGCCTGTTTCTTAAGCAACATATAACTGCGGTTTGGCGGCTTAACACCAATTCATTTGCATATTTTGGAATAGCAAAGGCATGACACGCCCTTCTTTCCCTATGACTGGGTAGTACTCGGTGCCTTTGTTGGATTGGTTGGGGTAATATTTGCAAATTCAGAGAGCAAATGTAATAAAATTTGTGCTTTTCTTGAGTGCTCCTGAAGAGATATACAACAGTGGTGGATCCTGATATGTGTGCAGGTGCTCTGACGTGCACCGGTGTATGTCGTCTTTAAGTACCTTTCAAAGACAGGTGAGGTATTTACATATTTATGCAGCAGCAAAGTAAATCTTGTATTTCTACAACCCTCCCTAATCCTTTTAAACACATCACACAGTGTGTCTGCCTGCCACAGATCTGTCACAACACTGCACCTCCAATGCACGTTTAAATGAAGGGATCATTCAATGGAAACAGACCTTATGCAGACCTGCAACCTTCCAAATCTGACCTCACAAAGACCAAAACTAATAATACATTCAGGCGTTCCACAAGTCTGTATTAAATCACCAGAACACATGAAGTGTGTCCTCAAAATCTGAGCAAGAAAAGACATCTCCTGACTTCCTGATTGGACATGGAATACAAACACATTTTGCAACCATGAAAAAAAAAACCCTCCCACCTCTCACCCAATCAGGGAGCAGATTACTCACCACGGTAACCAGATGGCGTGCGGACACCACAGCGTGCTCCGGCTGCACCTCGTTATGTGGTCGTGCCAGAAGGTCGAGGGTTCGCTGGCCGCCAGGCTGATGACGAAACCGAGACTCCAGCAGGGCGGCGGGCATCACTTTGGCTAACCTGGCAGGGTGCTGATGGTGGAGGTGGTGATGATGATGGTGGTGGTGGTGGAGGTGGTGGGGGTGGGTCTCTGGAAGGCTGTCCACATCAGGCTGCGAGTTCAGGTCATGCTGGGGGTGAAGGGGTGGAGGGAGACGACTGGAGCGACGAGAAGGGAAGAGACGAAGCTCGTGATCACCGGAGGACGATTCTGAGGGGAGATAAAGATGGAGGACAAAAGTTTGGAAACTTGCAAATAGACAATCGATTGTTCGCATATGCCTCATTTTCACTGCATGGTTGAGCTCGATTCACTTTTGGTACCAAAAATTCTCAGCTAATCGCCATGGCAACACCACGTAAAACTGCTGTGACTTCATTTAGGACACAACACTGGATACTTTTACGCAACCAAACAGAGGAACGTCTGCACTTCGTTACATAATTTTGTGGCTGCCATTTTCTAAAATTTGGGTCAAAAATTGCAGTCACTATATACGGTAGCTTGGCTATTTCAAAATGGCGGGTTTGCAAAGGATGTCCCACATTGCGCCTGTAACGATTCTCTCTGACCACTGAGTGGTTGCCAGTGTTTTAACTCCACCTTCTGGTATTGGCTCAGCTCGACTGGAACCTCAATCAAGGTGACGGCAGAAAAAAGCACCAGGTACTATCCACAACTTTCGCCAGTGGAAAACCAAAAAAGAACGAGTCGATTGAGTAGAGCCGTTATGCCTTCTAAAACAGCATGTGTACATCTTACAAAGATAAAAGGTGGCATAACTATAAATAACTCAAAGAGACTTTTGAAACAGAAGGTTGCTGAATTCAGGAAGAATTAGACAGACGCAACTTCTCATTTTTAGGCTACTGTCAGATTTGCTAACTGAAATATAAACTGTCGCTGGCAAAATGTATCAACAGTAACTAGCTAGCTAATTACTGTTTGCTCTAAATGTTGGTTGAAACAAGTTCTCCTGCCCATTTATGTTCATGACTGAAAAAAAGAGTGAAAGCTTTAAAATTTGGGTCTTAAAATTAAATTCATCCCAACTCTGAGATGCCAAGACTGAGGCCGAAGCTAACAGGTCCTCTGATTATTAGTCCAAGTGAGACGATAGTTAAAGCTCGTCATTTATAGCATTATAATAGACTAATGTTGTGTCCACGCATCGCGTTACTTGTGCAAGTTTCAGCACTAGAATATTTTTTGTTGACTTGCTTCATATGTGCATGAAAAGGCTGAATCGATGAATGAACTTCTGCCAGTAAGTCCTCGGCGCCATAGCTCCCCAGAGGATCTCAATGCTGGTTGGCTATCAAGGAGCGAATTGGTCACTGCAGTTCAGATTTTTCAGCTCTCACAAATAAGCGTATGACACAAAACCGCGCTACTCGCTTTATTTGCTCACTCACATCACGTCCATCACGCCACCCGACGTGAATTCACGTCTAATCGCATCTTAACATTGACTTCACATGTAATTAACTTGCACTAATTGTTTTATTCGCACCTGGTGTGAACACAACATACAGAAAAACTTGTACAAGCAACACAAATGTTAGATTTGTGCTTCATTGTTCACATTTTGAAGATGATTTAAGCATCATAAGTCAAGTATTAAAGTAAGCTCGAATGTGCTTAGCTTTACTTACAGTACATACTTGTTTGCATTTCCAAAAGAAAGACGTGCAGGATGAGAACTAACTGATGTGTTGGGCAAAGTAAAGCTCTTTCAGGATATGGGATGACATGCCATCATTCAGACGGCTCAAAATTTCGAAAGCCCATAGTCCAAAAAATGTCCTATTGGACAAAAAGCCCGGTATCCTGAAAAACAAATGTACATTGCTCTGAAGGGTTGTTTCTCCAAAAATAGACTACAAACTCTCCTAAACAGAAGCATATGTCGTAACACACGGCATGTGTTTTGTCTGTTGAGCCATATTTTCTCCATAATCGAAAATATTTCCACACTGCTGATTTATTCCTGAGTAAGTAACGTTATCGCCATCACAGAATTTCAAAATAAAGGCGTGACCTAAAGATGACATATGGAGCGATGTTTTCACTTTGCATTGATGATATTGGATTGCTGATCATCATCTATCCTGGTGGACAGACAGATCATTGCAACTGGTTTCTACAAATTAAACTTAGGTGCGTTACCAGTCGGCCCCTTATGCTCTACGTCATCACAGGGGATCTCATTAGAGCTATGAGCCCAGCCAGGCGACGACAGGGACCTGTCACGGATCGGTCAGGGCTCTACCACGGACCAAACGGAAATTTGAAGTGGCTGCATCTGTATCGATCCAGATCAATGGATCTTTAGACCCATAGTCCTGACCAGGTTAGGTCTGCAGCAAAAGTTACCTTGGCGATCTAGCCCGATCACAAGAGAGAGCCATCTTTGTAGGACAGAAACCTCAGGCTTTAGACTCAACGTACCTCGCTAAGCCACTAATGCTGCTTCATGGTACAGAACTCTGGATGCTAACATTAGCCTGAACACTGAAAGCATCCAGGACCAGCTCCCACACAGTGACTGTCTGTCCTGAGCAGGTTTTCTCTACAATATCCTGTAAACCTACAAAGTATTGCGCTTGGATAATGATATGCTAACTCTCAGCTAACTAAAAAACACCATTTGGTCCATTCCTTAAACATTTGCATGTGTTTTTTGTTTTTCAAAGGCACTAAAAAAAGACACCACCACACACTTTGTATCTGAGGACTGGCTGGGGATTTATCTAACTGTCATTTATTGACTTTAAAGACTTTAGGAAGAGGAGGAAGATCCGCAGACAAGAGCGGTTTGACTCTTAATTATGGCACAGATCTACCTCAGGATATAAACAATCACCTCCCTCTTCCTCTTCCTCTTCCTCCTCTAATCTTTTAAAAATCTATTCCTCCAACGCAGCACATTGAGCAGCACTCGCAGAGAGACGGCAGAATAAGAGATGAGAGCAGGAGATCCCATCTGTCTCTCTCTTTCACAGCATCTTTGGTCAGGATGGAGGCTTTCATCAGGCTGCAGGCAGGCTCAGAGGAAACCCCTGCACACCGACTGAACTCACCCAGCCGTGATGAATATGAACACTGCATAATTCATCCCCAGTCTTTATTTATCCTCCGAGATAAAAAAATATCTACTGAGTGAAGCCCTCTTTAACTCTGGTAACATCCGGCCTCTCGTTCACAGCTACAGACGTTCATACTGAAGATGGATCTGTCTAATTAAAGACAACGCAGACAGGAACCTCAGCTGGACCTGAGCCCTGCGCGCCTGATCTCCACTGTTTGCTGACTGCAAAGATTAAATGGACAAAAAGCCAATCTCCCCCTGTCAGCAATCAATAACAACATCTTTATCTTTGTGATTTAGCAAAAACTAAAGTCAGACTTTTCCTTGAATAGTCAGTTTCTCTGTCTGATGGCTGCACTCTATTTAGTTAATTTAACATGTACAGTGTTAGCCAAGATGCTCATCTGGACAGATGCTGCATTGACTTAGTGTCAGAAATGGGCCAATATTTTATTCAGACAATGCTTCTGTCGGCATTTTTATCAGATCAGGGGCCAGTGGCGGAAGAAGACTCAAAAATACATTTACCTCTGAGATGTAGTTGAGAGGTATAAAGTTGTATAAAATGGAAATATTCGAAGTACAGGTTTTCATGTCACTCAGTAGCGTCCCAGTAGTATTCCTAATATATTCAAATTGAAACATTTTAATTTTGGTCCGATAACATTTGTTTTAGCATCAAAATGTTATTTTCCTAAGCCCTTCTACAGCGTTTTCCCATGTGACCCAACGTAGGTGATGCCATATACACCCTCTAGGCCACCGTAATGTGCGGCCCACTCTCATCAAAAAAAACAACCACATAGGTCAACCATGCAAGCAGCTTATTACGACCAGTGTTGTGCTAATTACTGAAAAATAGTAACTAGTTACCTTTACTAGTTACTTAATTAAAAAGTAACTCAGTTACTTAAACCAAAAAGTACTGCATTACCGAGAAATGCAACTTTTTAGTTAGTTTAGTTTTAGTTACTTTTAGTTACTCGTAGCTACATCGCCTAAGAGACAGCGGATGGAGTTTAACCAAGGAACTGTCAGACTACAAATTGACAAAACAATTGAACGATATAGGAAACATGCAACATGTCTTCTACAGTGGAGTCACTCGCTGTCAGGCAGCTAAATGTTTTACAACTACGGTACTTGGATACAAATATGGAAAATGAGCTAAAGAGAACATTTGAAGAGCTACATGATGATGTCGAGTCTGTCGCCCTCCGCAGACATTGTCTGTCCACAACAAAAGCTTCCTCAGGATAACAATGGATATCACGTCACTGGATATAACGTTACTGGGACTAAAAATCTACAGAAGCGCTACAGCTTAATGTAACATTACAGCACTGTGGTGAGGCCAGCAGGTCGACAGTGACTTCAGAGAAAGTGAGAGACGTGTTTCATTAAGATGCTCTGGTAAGAATTGTTCATATACCTCTATCTGACTTGACTATCTTTTATTGTTCAGGGCTAAAATGTTTTAGTGAAAGGAACTTCAGTTTGTGAAGGAATACTGCATGCTGCACACTGTTTTAAAACCTGGCAAAAAATGACGGAGTAACGCAGCGTTTGGTAACGGTAACTGAGTTACTGAATTTAAAAACTAACGCGTTAGAGTATTAGTTACTGCCAAAACTAACGGCGTTACTACTAATGCGTTACTGCCCAACACTGATTACGACCCATGCTTCTGTTTAATATAAGGCAGTGCCCTCAAGTGGCCGTAGTAATTATAGCAGGAGCAAAGGATGCGGTGACGTGACATAGCTTAAAAAGCGTCATAATCCACGTAATGTTGTACAAATATCGCGGAAGCCCTGACAGCAGCAATCGCCAACAGGCAGGACATGGACGACATCCGGCCCACCAAAGCTTTAGAATAATAACTAACACAGAAACTATGAGAAGGGAAAAAATGCATAACAGTATTTCGGATATCTAGCATTTTCTTCATGATATATTGAAGCAACCCAAAGCAACTAGGATTGAAAAAAAACATTGTGTTTGTTTTACCAACCCCAAATATGTACGTTTGATCGGTGGGTACTAAAGAACACAGGACTTTCACCCAGCAGACAAGTGTTCATGTGTTCGCAACATATGTCATGCTACGTTAGTGACA